CGTCTTATGCTGAAGCATGTTACGTTCAAAGCAAAGCAAATGAGCTTGAATACTACCGGCTAGATATACCCTCGTTGTGATCTTAGCTGTCCTTTTTGACGAAACTCGTCCCCCGATCACCACAGATCATCCCCCTCTCCCTGGTCTTGGCATCGTCATCAAGGAACCCAATAAGACTCACTTGACTCCAAGACGCTCTTCAAATTTCGCCATGGCTGCAGGGTTCCCCTCCATCTCATAAGTCTTGCCCAGCCCAGCTAAAAGAACGTGCCACACGACGACTTTCTCCAAAAACCAAGCATCTTGGCAGAACTTGGCATCGCGGCGTTTGACGCTCCGGTCCTTACAGAAATGCAGAGAAGCGGGAGCTATCTCAGTCTAGCGAGATCCTGCGCCGAGAAAAAGATCATCGCAAGGGGTCGTAGTATCGCGGGTTGAGCCTAAATGCCACACTTGTTTCGCTAAGGAGGGTGGCAGCGGCAACTATCTCGATTGGTCGGCTATAATGGTGGTGGCGAGGCTCCCATTGCTTGGCTGAAGGAAACTTTTCTATAAGGTCATGTCGTTTCGAGGATAGCTTTTCTCCTAGGAATTCCATATGTTATCTCTTTGTTGCGATTACGATGGGCTTGTCTTCGTTTATAGTTTGGCCTTGGAGTTGCCTTTTGTTGGTTACGACTATTGTTTCGTCAACTCCTTTCAACCACGTTGTTGATACCCCTAGTCCACTTACCAATATCGAGTTTGAACAACAATGCCCATTGAAGTATAGTTCAGGGAAGGCTGCCAAGGTCACGGAATGGCGCCCATGGACGCAAGAGCCGGTATGTGTCGGCCCAAAGTCAAACAAGACACTACAACACTGCGCTTTCATCAAAGAAGACTTTCGGGGGAACAAAGGTCTTCTCGTAATCACAAGCCCAGAGGTTGCAGCCGGTGATGTCAGTCTCGTTGAGGATTTTGACACCCAATCGGCCAGTACTCAATCTTCACCTGATTCTGCCGACCCACTTCCCTTCGATGTTGAGACGATACCGGGTAAAGGTTTGGGAGCTGTCGCAAACATCCGCATCCGCGCGGGGGATGTCATCTTGAGGGAACACCCTGTCGTTGTGCAATTGGCGCAAGTATCTGAGCCGATTAGCTGGATGCAGGCTCTGTGGGTGTTAGAGGAGGGCTTCATTCGGCTGCCGAGAGAGGATCAGCAAAGAGTGTTTGAACTTTCTAGGAGCACCGGGGGCCATGTTCTGGAAGATATCATCCGAACAAACACATTTGGCGCAAGTTTCAATAACGTTGCCCACCTTGGACTGTTTCCAAAGGTCGCGGTAGGTGATCAGCTTCTAGCATCTTGTTCCAGCTTTTCTGACACCAATCAGAGAATCAATCATGCTTGTAAGCCTAAGTACGCCTGCAACCTTCTCGAGACAACATAGGTAAAGATAGAGTGCTTACCAAAAGCTAGTGCAATAACCCGCTTCTCGCCCCGGACATTGGAACTAGAAATCGTGGCGTACAAAGACATCTTGCCGGGCGAGGAACTAAGCATCAGTTGTAAGAACCCTGAACCCGTCCCGCACAGCCATTTGAACAGGACTAATACCAGGAACGTACAGACTCGATGCTAAACATGCTGTACCGAGACCGGCAAAAGGCTCTTCAAGAGTGGGGTTTCAACTGCACCTGCGTGCTCTGTAGTTCCTCTCCCGAAGTGCTGGCCATCTCAGATGCTTACCGCAGACGGCTGTCGGAGATCTTCTCGGAGCTCGAGGACCCAGTCTTCGCAGGCTCGCCGTCTCTGGTGGCGGAGCTGATCGACGAGCTTGAAGATATCCTGGTGAAAGAAGAGTTGACGGCGCAGGCGGGCGAGTTCTATGGCATAGTTGCTGGGGTGTACCGTAACATGGGGGAGATGGAGTTAAGTAAGAAGTATGCAAAGTTGGCGGTGGAGAAGCTGGTGGTCTTTGCGGGGTACGACGACGAGAGGACGGTAAGGGCAAGGGAAGTTCTTCTGGAATTTGGGGGAACGCAACTCGGCACGGGGTAAAGGGTCGCGTTGGGGAAACGTTGGGGGCGGCGCGGTAGCTACACTCAAACGAGCACGCAGTTCACGGATCAAAGGGGTGTAAGTGGCGTGCGTTCTCTGGAACCGGGGGTTCATGTTCCTCAACTCGGAGGGGGTGATTCATTTACCTCACCCCCGTCATGGCCCATGGGGAAGGAAGGAGGAACGTGGCATGGCACTTTGCCTGGTCTGGGGAAGCGAGCATGTTGACAGGTTGCGGAGAATTTTGTGGTGGAGGAGGATTACTCCGGTGCTGCGGGTTGGTCGACGGATTGACACGTTTTGGACCGGCTATGCGGCACCTTCGTTGATGAGATGGCGGCAGCGGGCCGGGGGTGATGGTTCATGTCATGTCTCGATTAGGTTGCGGGAGGATGTGTCCGCTGCAGCATCCCACTGGGGCACATTGTTTTCTAGATGGAAAAGGAACGTAATATCAGACCGTTTGAATGAGAAGTGCAGATGCGGGTCATTGGAGTTGAGGCTCTAGCTGGAGCCCATCTTGGCGATGCCAAGTGGCTTGGAACCACGGTTGCCAAGGTTTCTTGGCGTTCTTTTGTGAACGTCGACTTTCACTGGATGCTCAAAGATATGTAATGTCCTGTTTTAACAGAACGTAACCAAACAAAGAGAAAATACATTGAAATCTGATTGTGCAGGGATATGTGTGTGTGTTGCGACCTAAAAACTAAAGATATTGGTTGTGAATCAAACTCGCTCATAGAACAAATAATATGGCGATTGAGGTAAGGGCTGGGTCTTCAAATGACAGACAATGCTATTGTTTGACACACAAACATAGAGTCTGTTTAGCGAGAGTCACCGAGTGGTAAAGGTATTTAGTTCGCTAGTATCAGCAAACATCCTCTGCCTACCCAGAATTCAATTGCAATACATCAAGCAAAATTTCGGATACGACACAAGAACTGATTGTCACGTTCGGATCTCACTCACATAGTAGCAGCTATAACCCTGACGAGGGAAATAAGAGAAAGATAACCACTACCAGTCATGTGCATCCAGTGGATTGCCTCCGCAAACTGCACCGGCGCCGTAGGCGGGAATACTCCGCGTGACGGATGCAAGGGCGCCCACGTCGCGGTGGTACGCCGCGAAGTCTGCTCATCGGCCCCCGGGCAGAGCTTGTGCTTTTTCGGCTCGTGTGAGAACATCGTCACGCTGTCCGCCGAGGACCAAGAAACCGTCAACGCGCCGTGCGAGGTTTGCGGCGTGGACATGGACCCGGAGCAGATGATGCTGCTGAGGATTTTTGACGACGCTTTTGCTGCTGAGTGGGTTGTCGCCTTTGGGGAGAGCCACTATGCGACATGCACCAAGGGTATGTGGAGGTCGTTGGTCAGAAGATGAGTAAAGTGATGAGTCTCGTCGGCCGTGGGTGAGTAATCTTGTACGGATTTCCCAGGGGAATGGCACAACGCGGAGAAAGGGCGAGACTTCGGTGCCAAGGATGGACTGTTACATGGCCGATGGCCCATGGGAGCGGTCACAAAGGAACTGCGCGGGGAGAGCATACAAATCAGGTTTCTGGGACCGTTGGTAAGTGCCGCTAGTAGCGTTGCAACCGTCGATCAGTCGGACTCGCTCTCTATTCTGCCCTCCGAAGCCGGTCTGAGTTTGAACAAAGGATCTCCAGTTCTTCACCAACATCGAAATTCTCAGGTAAAGGATTTGACCAATATACTTAGTGTAATTCAGGGAGAAAAAAAGTTCTTGTTGGCATGCCGCCGCGTGGGACGATCGTATGAGGTCTAATTTACCAAGACGTGAAATCCCCGCAAACCTGTAGGTTGCATGCTTGATCCTGGGTGGCTGGGAGTTGCCTGTTGGACTTCCTCCGCTTCCTTCGCCATGTGACGACCCTGACGGGTGGACTCCGTCCGCGTCGAGGTTGACAAGAAGCACCCTGTTATTGAGAATGTGCCATTTAAGAACATGGTGTGCGTCTCTGTCCTACATTGCCTGCTACTCTTTTGGTGTGTGTGGAAGCGCCAAGACCTCACGCGAGCTGTAAGTTGAGCGCTTAGATATTCCAACTCCAGTTTTCCCCATACCATCCCCATTGAAGGAAGCTTTCTCCGTGGGGTCTTTGGAGTTGAAGGGAGGCCCATGATCCATCAAAGGGACTTGGGGTTGATACCAAGACCGTGCCCTAGGACGAGGTTGGGAAACTTGGAATCTGGCCGAGATACCCTGGCGCTGTCGCCGGATCTTCCCCAAAGCTCACGAATCACTAGGCGTATCAAAGTATCACGGCGCAGATTATCGTTCCTCTGGTTGGCCAAGTACGGACATGTAAGCTTATTCTACGGGGTCAGAGTCACTACGAGATCCATCTTATTTGGCTAAAATGAGGGGAGGAGACGAAAAAAATGGGCACCGAGCCGAGGGAGATGAAAGAGAAAGAGATCGAGAGTCACTGTGAGAGGAAAGAGAGAGGCGAATATCGTCGGTCGAACCCCGATGGGCCAGACCTTGTCGCAGGCTGATGTCTGCTCTTCTGCTGAATGGCTGAATTAGCCTGTCTCCGTTCGGGCTCTGGCTCTGGCGCTCTGCATCTTTTCACGTCTAAGTATCAATAAACCGGAGCAGACCGGGGTGCGATGACTCGATTCCAAAATGGCTTCGAGGCGCGGGCGCACTCCGTCTTCGCCCTCACGGAAGATGGCCGAGCGGCAGTTGATGGCCCCGTCGACTTAAGCCCGAAACGGTCCATTCGGGATCCACCGGCCGGCGGCGAGCTGCGAGCTGCGAGCTTGCGGAGTGCGAACCTGTCGGGTATCCAGTTCTTTACGCAAGGCAGCTTGCGTTAGCACTTTAGCCAGCGACGAAACAAGCACTTTGAGATATGGGGATGGGGGAAATCTTGCGTGTTTTTGTTGGGTTCCACGCGCGCAAACGGCCTTTTGGACATGGATCATGGGCCGATGATGGGGCTTTTGCGAGTGGTTTGTCTTGGATTCCATCTTCCCCCCCTCCTCTTCGCAGTAGGCTTCGCTACCTCTGCGTAGACCGTGTTACCGTACTCCAGTCTTGTTCTCCATCTTCTTGGTCCCCTCTTCCTCCTGGAGCTCATCCGTTTGTCAGCAAGACTAACGAGCATCGGCCGTCGACGAGTCATATCGCAGCCAATGTTTCTAGAAATCCTTGAGGAGGGTTGCAGTGCCAGAGTGGTGTGTTGCGGGGAAATGGTTGCTCGTCTGGACCATCTCATCTTCTCCAAACCCCAAAGCGCGGAGAATGCGGAGCCAACTCCTATATCAGCCAGGGGTAGCACGATAGCGCGCACACACAGAGAACAACGCAGTCAACGCACACACAGACTCATCCGTAGCCTAGGTAGGTAGTCAGGCAGTGCATCACTGCAGTCTGTCTCACAGTGAGAAGAGCCAAGAACACGCGAGCAGTCAGCCGGACCGCAACTTTGGATGCCGTTGGGTAAGGTACCTCAGTAAACCCTGCCGCCAGGCCCGACTTGGCCAGCTCTTCAGGTTCCTTCTTGGCAGAGCCCAGACGCCCAGCCGGGGGAGACATCACGTCACTTGGCGCTGGCTGATCGCCCTTGGTGAAAAGTCTTGGTTCCAATCCAGCGACGCGGGACAGCAGCCTGCCGGCGCAAACAAGACTTGAGGCGTATTTCTTGTCCCGACCACCACCATCAACGTTCGCGCGCGCCGTCGGTGCGCTATGGAACGAGCGGCGTAGCTCCGTCTGACGCTTTGGCTAATGATAGAGCAGTTTACGAAAACTTACTGCATGGAATGGCATGTAGGTGTGTTGCATTACGGAAAGTTGCGGGAGCCTCTTGATCCCAACGCGTCGGTTGAGGCAAGTATAGGCTGCCTCGCTAGTCCAACGTATGTCGAAATATGAAAGCGAATGAGGGCGGCATGAAGACCGTGCTGCCTATAGCCACGGTTATCCTTGAGCTAAATCAACCAGTCATCCGATGTCAAACAGTGGTTATCCTCGCTTTTTGAGGGGCAGGTGAACGCTTATGAAATTTGAGTTTTGTATCAGCGTGTTTTCCGTTGATTCACTTTTTTCTTGGTCCCCTTTTTTCCTGCTTTTCCGTCAACTTTCACTTACATCAATTCGACTCGGCGGTTCTTCGCTGTGATTCAGATTGTGATATCTCGTCCCAGCAATGAGTAATTCATCAACACATTTTCCTTCCTTTTTCAGCATGCCGAAGATCCGAGAGGATAACGTGTACTCTGCCATTGCATTATCAAAGTGGATAATTAGATAGGTCCTATGCGGTGACACAGTTACAGGTGTGCCCGAGAAAAACTACGAAGGTGGACGAATGTCACAGTCAAGATGGACGATAGGCAGCGGCTCTTGTGAGTACGAGCTGCAAAGGCCACCGGAGATCTGACCGGCAATATCCTCGTCGCCTTTCTATCTTCCTTCTTCCCGCCTTCCCCCCCCCTCCTGGTCTTCCTAGTCTTCCTATGTTTCCTAGTCTCCCTAGTCTTCCCCAACCTACCCCAAACCCGCCCCCGGCGCGCGGTTGGCATGGCCGGATTTGGGCAAGCTGCCGCCCACTTCACGACCTTGTTCGACCGCCGCTGCTCGCCAGGTCTCCTCCCCACGCATCTCCATGTTCATCCCCATACCGGTACCCCCCATCTCAAGCCACCCTTGCTTAGTTTCGTAACAAGGACACCATCCGTTCATTCCTTCCCCTCGTAATTTTTTCACGATGGTGGAACGGAAGTTGAGCGATTGGCCAGTCGCCGGAGACCATCCATCCCGACATCCTCTACCCTTCTTTTCCCATGGGGTCGCATTGGCCACTGGCTGTCATCTCTCTCTCTGGGGCGGGGACGGGGGAGATAGGTCGGGTTGGTCCACGCGAAGATGGGATCTAGTGTGATGTAGAACGAGGGAGGTATGGATCTACGTGTGCCCTACTCCTCCTTCTCTCCTCAGATCTAAGTATTAATAGGAACCACTCCTTTCTCTTCCTCAGGTTTCTTGTTCCTCAACCGTCGTGTTCATACCCCAAAGCCCACGCACCTCCTCCCACACCTTTCTTGTCCATCTTGAATATCCCGTGCGAGCAAATCAAATACCATCAACATGGCAGGCGGTGGTGTCAAAAAGCCCATCAACATCTTCAAGTTGGGCGACCTCGGTGAACCCGAGGGCGTCTTCAACTGGCGGCTATGGTTCGCTGTCATCTCCTTCGGCCTCATGGGCGCGGCCCGTGGTGTCGATGAGGGCCTCATCTCTGGCGCTTTCGGTTCCAAGGATTTCCAAAAGTTCATTCACTACGATCAATACAGCGCTGCCGAGAAGACCAACATCAAGGCCAACGTTTCTGCTATGGTTCAGCTCGGTTCCGTCGCTGGTGCTCTCTTGTAAGCTTGGCTACACTTTCCCTCTTCAAAGTCTCTTCGCAGAACTCTCTCTAACCGCTGATACCACGTACAGTGCCTTCGTCATTTGCGATAAGATCGGCCGTATCTGGGCTACCCGTCAACTCTGCGTCATCTGGATCATCGGTATTGCCATCTTCATGGCCAACAACGGACACCTCGGCGCCGTCTATGCTGGTCGTTTTATCGCCGGTCTCGGTGTCGGCCAGACACCCGTCGTCGGTCCCGTCTACCTTGCCGAGATTGCCCCGGCCTCCGTCCGTGGTCTCTGCACCTGCGTCTTCACCGGCTTCGTCTACCTGGGTATCGTGCTCGCCTACTTCACAAACTACGGCTGCCAGATTCACCTCGGCGACACCACCCACAACCGCTGGCTCGTGCCCACCTCCCTGCACATCATGTTCGCTGGTATCATCTTCATCTTGACCTTCTTCCAATTCGAGTCGCCCCGCTTCCTCGTCAAGCAGGGTAAGATTGAGGAGGCCACCGAAACCATGGCTCACCTCCGTCACCTCCCCGTCGACCATGAGTACGTTACCCGTGAGATCTACGCCATCCAGCACTCTCACCAGGAAGAGCTCGAGGCCACCAAGGGTACCACCTGGTTCGGAAAGGTCAAGGAGCTCTTCCTCGTCCCCAGCAACTTGTACCGTCTCTACCTCACCACCATGGTCCAGTTCCTCTCCCAGTGGTCCGGCGCCGGCTCCATTACCCTCTACGCTCCCGATCTCTTCAAGATCCTCGGTATCGAGGGCCAGAACGAGTCCCTTCTCATTACCGCCGTCTTCGGTGTCGTCAAGCTCGTCGCTGCTATCGGCTGTGCGCTGTTCCTGGTCGATGTCATCGGTCGCAAGCGCGCTCTGCTTACGGGTATCACTCTGCAAGCCATTGCCATGGTCTACATTGCTTCCTTCCTCACCCACGTGCCCAAGCTTGGTGTCGACGAGTCCTTTGAGCTCCCCTCCAACCTGGTCGGCGTCAGCAAGGGTGCCATCGCCATGATCTATGTCTCTGGCTTCGGTTGGGCTCTCGGCTGGAACTCCATGCAGTACCTCCTCACTGCTGAGCTGTTCCCCCTCCGTGTCCGCGCCCTCGCCACCTCATGGGCCATGACTCTTCACTTTGCCAACCAGTACGGCAACTCTCGTGCCGTCCCCAATATGCTGGCATCCACCTCCGTCGGTGGAATCTCGCCCATGGGTACCTTCTGGTCGTTCGCCGCCATCACCCTCATCGGTGGTGCCTGGGTTTGGTTCTTCGTTCCTGAGACTTCTGGCCGTGCTCTCGAGGATATGGATCGCCTCTTCGAGCTTCCCTGGTACAGAATTGGTCTCCACGGTAACGCTGATGCCGAGGCGAGAGATGTTGTCTACAACGAGAAGCAGGAGGCTGCTGAGGGTATCCAGGGAATGTCTGAGCATGCCGAGAAGAAGCCTGCCCAGGTCTAAAACAAAATGTGTATGAAAGAAGCCTGAGAGGTTTTCAATAGTTGAAAAGGGTATCTAATGAATGCAATATACCCAATAATGACATGAATACAATCCTACCTTTTCGAGGTTTACCACTCAAATCAGGTTTCTCTTCCACTGTGATAATGTATCCTTTCTAGTCGATATCGAGGTTATAGTTCATCACGTATTATGGCTTAGATTCAATCAACACTTGAACCTTCAAAATTTATCCCTGTTGATTTCATTTCACGGATAAGCTATTGAACGTTTGATCTGGGGCACGGATATATGCAGATTGATTGATAATCTTGATTAGATCCAGGGAGTGTCCTTGTCTCGTCTCAACCTCTGACGGTTAATGCTTGAACCTTCGGATGGTGGTGTAGAGGGTTTGACGTAAAGCAAGGTGGGCACACACTCAAATTCTTGAGGCCGTCGTCGAGCGGATGATCTGTTGAATGAATCAATTAAGACGTCTTCCAAAACCTCAGACGCGCGCTACACGTGGCTGAGTCTGAGAAGAAATCTTATCTTGCCTGAGGTAACACGGCAAGCACAACAGGCCGGCTGTTGAAACAAACAAACATATATCGGAGGGTAGCTCCGAGTTCGTTTCAACCCGCTATTTGGGCATGGATGTACCCCACGTGCGATCCAATTTATCGCATTAGATACGATGTGCGATTCGGCGAATCTAGATCCAAATCCGGCGATCCAGTCTCGCTATCCGCGACCACGGAGCATTTACGGCATTGCACGGTAATAAACACAGTGGATTGCGCTTTCCAAGACCAGCCTCAATAGGTTAGCATTGTCTCTCTCGATAGCCACAGGGAACGGATTGATGCCCGTCGAACTGATATGCAAAAAGCGGTTTTTGTTACCCCAAGAGCTGACGGTATTGCCAGCCATGGCCTCCCCGCCACGCTGCGCCTGTGGCGCAATTATCGTCCTCGACGCAGCCATAGCCGTACACGAAAACGATCTGTTTTCTTTCAACAACAATGCACGCCAGGCCAAGAACGCGCCCATTGGCGTTGACAGCCATCCCCTACTCGCCAAAGCTGAAGCGCCCACAAGCCCTTTGCCCGCCCTTTCCCACTTGAGCCGATCTTGAGGGATCGTCTTTGCCGCTGATGTGGTTTTTTGTTGACCGGCTTCTGGGTCTGGATTCAGTGTGCATCATCGAAAAGATGGTAGACACTAGCATTGTTTCCGTCGATTATGTAGATTCGTATAATACCGAGAATCCCACGCTGCCACGCATGCAATGTGGGATACCGACAATAGAGGTTTCAGAGTGCCCGATCAAAGACCACTGCGTTCTCTGGTGCGAACCAAGAAGGAAACCCTTGAGCTGCACCATGAAGGCTTCTTTCCTCCCTTTGCTCTTGACTGGGCTAACAGGGCTGGCGTCAGCCGCCTCCATTGCTGACGCTCCTCAGTGCGCTGTAAGCAGTATCCTACGACTTTTCCACGAGTTTCTCGCGGGCTTGGTGTGACCATACTAACACTCTCTCGAGATATCCTGCGCTCTTTCGGCTCTTCCCCAATCACCTTGCACTATCTCGAATCAAACATGTCTTTGTGTCGATCCGACTTTCAACAGGCTTGTTGGCGACTGCGTAAAAGATGCGTGCACGATAAAGGAAGCATTGGGTAAGCATGTCGAATTTGCTAGTTGACGCTCGATCATGTGTTGGATTGTTGATGCTGATGCAATGATCTAGCTGTTACAAACTTGACGTGGTCGTCCTGCGGGTTTCCCCTGACTGATCGGACGAGTACGGCGCGATACACGACAATCTTTTTATTCATCCTACCGGTGGTTTTCATGGCAATCAGACTGTCGGCTAGGTTTATGCGTCTTGCGCCCTGGGGCGCAGAAGATACAGCAATATGTATCGCTTTTGTATGCATGCCAATCCAACATTCCAAGCGCGTTCAAGAATACAGGTCTGATACGGATATAGGCGTTTTTGATACCTTTTCCGCCGATCATCTTCGCCAGTAAGTTCATCCGGTTAGCTTTGAGATGATTTGACTAACAACCTCGAATAGTGATGCGACATGGTTTAGGACGAGATATCTGGACATTACAGCCGTATGAGATTACAATGTTTCTGAAAGTAAGAATCCCACACAGTCCCTAGAATTCATCTGACAAGTCAACCCCAGCTCCTGTTCGTTCTCCAACTCTTTTACATCTCAGGACTGGCAGTCATAAAGGCATCGGTAATATACTTGTACATACGAGTCTTCAACATTCAAGGCTTCAGGACCCTTCTCTGGTGCACGCAGATTTTCAACTTTCTTCTCGGGGGAGGCTACATCTTGCTCAGCCTCGTTCAGTGCCAGCCATTCCAGCACTATTGGAACGGGTGGGATGGCGAGCAAGATGGCCACTGCGCAGATCTTAACACAATCGGCTTGACGCACGTAGCGTTTAACATTGCGCTCGACGTGTGGATGCTAATTTTACCGGCCACGCAACTGTATAAGCTTAACATGGAGCTCAAGAAGAAAATCGGCGTGATGGCGATGTTTAGTGTAGGCGTTTTGTAAGTCTTTTCGTTGATTCAACGTTGTTCGCATGCTCTAGTCTGACGACAGAAAAGCCTCACTTCAGTCAGCATTGTACGGATCAAAAGTCTTCTGGTGTTTGCTACGAGCTTCAATATCACTGGTACGTGACACTATTGTTCTATGATTAAATGTCGAAGCTGACTTTTATACATAGCCGAGTGCCTTTGGGGTATTATTTGGTCCT